GAGACCCCCACAGACAACACTCCAGAAAAACTCCCCAGACAATGCCCCCAGAAAGACCCCCTCCCTTGGGTAAAGACCCCAGAAAGCTTTTGACACGCACACCTCACCTACCAGTGCTAACATTGAACTGTCCTCTTGAAAGGTTCCCGCGGTGCCGCAGGGCACCGTGGTCGGAAACCTCTGTCAGACCAGTGACTCCCAAAGGCTGTGCCCTGAGAGAGGTGGAAGTGTGCAGCAAACAAACGGTATTAGATCCAGCCTGCGTGGCTCCCCTGGGGTCCAGAATGACAGCGGCAGAGCCGTGACAATTAACACTGCCACTGGGCCCCGCTGCCAAATTTTCAAATTTCATGGGTGTATGAGCAAAGTGTGCCCCAGGTATCAAAAGTTTGGGAAACACGGTATAAGGCAAACTGATATGGAGGTGGTTCAAGCGCCTTCATTGAACACCTTCAAGATGAAACTGGATGCTTATCTTGCTGGGATCCTATGACCCCAGCTGACTTCCTGCCCTTTGGGCGGGGGGCTGGACTCGATGATCTTCCGAGGTCCCTTCCAGCCCTGATGTCTATGAAATCTATGATTCTCCATCTGACTCCATTGCCATCTGTTTCTATCTATCACATTAGACAGGCAGACAGCTATAGATCTATTGTATTTTAATAATATCTATCTAATATAGATGATATATATTATATCATGGTATCATATATATATATGATATTATCCAGGTCAGATAACTACATGATGGATGGTTGATGGACAGTCACAAAAATAGCATTTGCTTTGTGCTAAGTGTGATTGGGCCAACATCTAGTTGGGAGACAGGTCAAGTAAGCTTCAGAGCACGAAATGCCCTCCCTCGGGTGCCCAAAAAGACTTGGCTAACATCTCTCCAGATCACAGAGCGGGTCCAATAAAAGAAACTAGTACATGCATCCTACATCTCTTGTATTCCCTTAACCATCACAGCTACCGGACTGCTACTAAACAGACTATTGGGCAGTCAGATGACTGATTTACCATAGACAGACAATCAGATAGTCTTTTTTGTAACAGATCTGTGAGAGAAGTAGACAGACAGACAGAGCATCTGCCTAATTTGATAGTCAGATAGAAACAGATGATATCCCATCTCACCAACACTTTCTGCCAGCATGTAAACCTCTAAACACCAAGGCAGTCATTCTGGAATAGACTAAACCAACAGGAAAAAATAAATGGTTGTAATGTCTGTTTTTAGATTAATTGTTATTATTATTTATTGTTTACTTTCAAGTGCTACTCAGCTGAAATGTTACATCTGACAGCACAATATTTCCCCATACAATATAAAGATCAATCCACCACCACCCACAAAGTAGACTAAACAAAAGCCAAGGGACAAGCATTAATATCTAAGTGTTACCTACTAAGAAAACAGTTGTTATTGTTGCTACTATTATGTATTATAAAATCTCTCATTTGAAATGTCTCAGCATGTTGCTAGTCTTGAAAACAAGTAGATGCCTCGGTACCAATCCAATGCAAAGTTGTACACGGAAGATGCAAAATGAAAGCCAAGAAGTTGTTAAACTGTCCATTTTTTCTATTCTCGATTATGAAATTGTACTAATTTCATTTTTTTAAAGTCTTGGCTCTGCAGTTCTTGACAGCGTTATATCTGTATGCATAAAGTCAATGTGAAGGCATATAAGAAACAGACTAGACAAATAAAAGCCCGAACCAGAAACAACAAGAAGCTGTTGCATAGTCCCCTTTATGTATTTTATGGGTTTGTCATTATTTTAATATTACAGCTCAGCCATTTGAAGTATCCCAGATGGACAGCTCCTCCTCTCACCCAATAAGGGCCTGATCTATACAGACTTCAAAGGCAGCGTTGACTGAGTAAAACCTTCAGGACTGGACCAAAATGGACATGATTCTCCTCTTATTTGTATCCTATTTACACCAGGGACTTTGAAGTTATCCCTGATTCATATCAGCTTCAGAGAATAGTTGGGTCTCATATGTCTGGGAAGCATTTTATTTGTTCTTTTATATAACGATGAAGGCAACATTCTGGCTCAAGCACAACCTCAGGCCTGATGCAGCCGGCAGATCTGCTCTTTGTGATGCTCTGTGCTCATGGAGGGAGTCCCACTGAAATCAAAGGCAGGATCCCGCCAATCCTCAATGCTTGAAAATTCCCTTTCAAGTCACAGGTAAGAAAGAGTGCACAGCGCAGAACGGAGGAAGCATTCAGCACTGGATAGGGTCAGCCCCCCTAATCCCATTTTACTCAATGGCAGATTTCCCACTCGTCCAGGTTAGTCTTGTGGCCCAGGCACTGGGTTTACCTTCAGGGATACCTGAGTGCAATCCTTGCCTCTGCTGTAGCTTTCCCTTACTGGATTGTATGTCAGTTCCCCATCTGTAAAATGAGGATAACGATACTTCTCTCACAACCTGTGTCTGACGAGACTGCAGCAAGGACCACCGATTTATATGCGTTTATACCGCCCCTAGTATAGCCCCAGATCTGGCTGAGCTCTAGGTACTGCTGTAATAAAAATAGTAACAAAGTTGAGTCCTTAGTGAGCAGTGTTGTGCGAAACTCAGTCACAAGGCTAAATAGGCATCACCAACCACAAAAATGTAATTTCTGACTTTTTTTTTAATTAAGCAGGCGACAGGTCCAATCCTACACTGCTCATGCACAGATCAGAAGTTCATGTACATCCCTCAATGATATGGTAGTTGAGTATCTCAAAATTAGTGATGCCTTGTACACTGCAGATGAGGGACTGAAAGACAAAGTCTTTCTCAGGGAGACAGGCGACTCTCAGGGCATTTGGCACTTTGTGGGATTTTCAAACGTGCCAAAAGCCCCAGTGGTTTCCCAATAGATCCCTATCTGTGCCTTTAGGCACCTAAATACCTTTAAAAAAATCTGAGCAGAGGTGGCATGCCCTGAGGTTATACAGGAAGCCTGTGGGGAAGCAGGGAATTGAAATCAGGGCTTCCTGCATCTACAACCACAGAATCCACAGAGCCCAAACCTTCACCACAATTACTGGACATTTGGGGCAAAATTGAAAAGTCCCAAAAAGCTATACCAAAATAGCCCTGTACCTGTGTGCTGCCCCCGGCGTCAGCTGTTCGGGGGTCCTGCAGAAGCCTTCAGCTGTAGGAACCCTTCAGTTTCTATAACCACAAATGCATTTGCAGCTGAAGGGAGGGCAGATCCAGGATTATGCAATGTTCCTCACATCCACCTATTTGCTCTGGCCTAAACAAGGTTGGTTTCTCCCTTCCCAGGCTAAGTCTTAGGGAGGGATCTGAAGATAAGTGATAGGAATCAGTGCAGAGGGAGCATTCCAGATACAAGGGATACCACAGAAAGCATCACAGATGGGTGAATAAACAGATCAACATACATCTTTCAGTTCCTGTCCTTAGCATGCTAAGGACAAGCCAGTCATGCTATACTTATTTATTGACATAAGAAGAATTTCACCAGGCCTGGAGATGGCCCCAAGATGTTGACCCTTGTATTTTCCGGGTCTGGCTGAAGATAAGAACACAACAGGATTCTTACTCATCCAAAAAAAGCACATACATGATTGGTACCTACTAGATGAAGGATTTTGCCAGAATTTGTTTGATACTACATGAGGGTCTGCAGTTTGACTATAAAACAGCATTTTTAATAGAAAGAGTAGTTTCTAAAGGAAACTGGATTTATCTGAGCCATGTATTAACTAGGGCCCTGGCAACACATTCAAATTAAAGCTGCATAGAAATCAGCTACAGAATTGTTACACATTTTTCAAGCACTAACTATGCAGCTGGTTGGCTGTTTTTAGAACTGGATAGACATTTTTATGGTGTGATAATTAGTTTGCATGTGTGGCTGGTCAAAATGTATTGTGTGATTCACCAGTAAATTGCATAATATATGCAACATTTAGCAGGGACCTTAGATAGATCTAACAATGGACTGGATTATACTCTCTCATAGATGTAAGGAGGGGGTTAGGTTGTAGCCGTGTTGGTCTAAGGATATAGGCATACAAGGTTCCTTGGGTGAATTTGATATCTTTTATTAGACCAACCCAAATAGATGTAAGGATACATTTTATCTGATGTCTGAATGTAATGGAGATGTGTTGGTAGCATGGTTAAGGTGGCTCACTACAGATCCAGAGGGGTGAGGCTGGCTCCGTACTCACAACAGCTGCCCCACACAAGATCCAAGAGTAAATGGGTACTGAGTGATCATTAGGGTTGGGACTCAGAAACAGCTAGACAAAATGGTAGGTACAGCATTCCCTTGTGTGCTGTTGGCTCCAGAAGATGCTGTGCCTTGACCATGCTAACCCAGTGGGGCACCTAGGCTCGGTCAAACCTAGGATCTTTTCAATGAATATGCTCGGGACCCTTTCCTGCTCCGCTTGCCAGTACAGAAACTTGAATGCTTTTGCCAAAGAAGACCCAACCCTGATTCCACTGAATTCAAGGAAAGCTGTAGGCTCTCATTTAGGTACTTGAATAGGGATTTACTTGGTTGTTTGTAAATCATCCACATTTAAAAATGGAGGTCTTAATAATAACACTACTGTTGCCAATACATGCATATAGTGTCATGCTGACAAAGGATCTGACCCTGTCCATGGTGGCTATGGATATGGATCTTGGCCTTCTGTTTCCTTCTGCGCCAGCTCCATTGGGTCAACACCTGGGATGGCTGCCTGGAAAACAGTGAGCAGGTTGTACCCCCTTTTATTTTCAGCAAGCTTTAGTACAGACTGGAAAGTCTGGTTCTGAACATCGTCAAATGTTGCAGGGCACAGCTGTCCAACCAGGAGCATATGGCTCCCAAGAGGCTAAATTATGGCCCAGGAGGCTCAGTAGCATGACTCTGGAATCCAAGGTGTGGATGCTGCTACTGTTTATTCCCTCACCCCCTTACCCATGCCAGGTTTGGGGTCTTCAATTGCCACTGGTTACTCAAATCAGCAGCAGAGACAGGGACAGGGAGGGAGTGGGGGCAGGCAGCAGTAGTAGTGCTGACCTCCAGGGTTGCAAAGCCAGGCTAATGCAACAGCTCTGGCAGCCCAGTCAACAAGCTGTCGGCCTCCCACTGTTGGCAGGTCATCCAGCCCAGGAGAAGTTCTGCAGTCCAGATCCAGCCTGTGGGGCCCCATCGGCTGGGCAGCCCTGTTGTAGGGAGCTTTAGGGCCTTTTTATAGTTAATGAGAATCACTGAGGGATGGCTTAGTGAAAGTTAGTGACAGTGTTTCATCTTCTGGAGAGTTCATCACATTTTTCCCCTCTTGACCCAGTATTTTTACACCTTTCTGGGGTGTTTCAAGGTATACGCATGTATCCCATTGCTTACAGAATCATAAAAAAGAGTTGAAAGAGACTGAACTTACCTAGTCTACCCAGTGCAAAGATATTTCTTACATTTCCTAGTCAATTATCCACTACAGTTTTCAACATCACAAATGAGGTGGGTTTGTACGCCAGCCTTTGAGAGATTTAGGCACGCTCCAACAGCTTTCTTACAGTCCTCCAGGGATGCCACTGGATCCACATCGCTGCATGCACAAGTAATGTTTTTCATCACCTCTGGTTGACTATTAGTATGGGTCTGTGGCTCTCCCTTATGCCTGTGTATCTCAGAAGTAATATCATTGAAGCCATTGGGTTGCCCTTAACTACTACCATAATCTGTCCAGGGACTATTCAGTCCTTTGAGAGGGAATATCTCCTTTTAAACATGCAACCCAAAAATCACTGCATCCCACTCTAAGGCTTTTGTAGCATTTGAATTCCAGTCCTCCAATGACCATTCTGGCAAAATCCAAACTAAGTTCAGGAAATGTGCTTGTCTGTTATATCAGATTCAGGGCCCTATTCCTCCAGATGAATCAAACAGAAAAGACCATACAGGACAAGCTGATCACTATAAAAAACCCCAAAACAAACCCAATGGACAAAGTGATATAAAGAAAGCTAAAGTGTGAAATGCTGCCTAGACTTGAGGAATGTAAAAAGATAACTGTTTGGAGATTTATGTTCAAAGAAAGACGACAACTCCCCCAGTTAGATCCTTTATCTCTCAACATTGGTAGTCTGTGTGTGTGTGTTGGGGGGGGGGGGTGTCTCCCGGACAACACAAAAGTTTGAATGCATAAACTATTTTGAAATGTTTGTATAATTTAATCCAAAAATATGACTAT